CAAGCACCGCTGTGCGTTAGGATGGCCAATGCCGACACTAACTGGGGCAACAATTGCCCGGCGAGAAGGATGCACTTGTGAGCGAATATAGGTGCACTTGGCTCAATGCCAGCCTGACTCACGATCCCTACTGTTCTCCCAAAAATACAACATGACCCAAACAGGATTTATCGGCATTATTATTAACAGCAATTGATGCGAGTGCCGTCCAATGTGGATGCCCATTAGCATAGTGGGCAATGCGCTCAAAGTACAGGATCTGGAGCAATGCTGCTGGCACTGATCAGTCCCTGCGTGTGGCTTCCCCTGGCTCAGGGCGACAAGCGTTCGGAGCGCTGCAGCGAAGCGCATGTCATGCTGGAGCTGTCCGCCAGGCTCTGGCGGATGAGGTCCATGGTTGCATCGTCAACTGCTGGAGGGTGGACTGTGCTGGGTGTGTCAGCGCTGCGTCGGTAGATGGGCTGAGAGTCCGGAAGCGCTGTCCTCAAAGACGAGTAAGAGAATTATCAGGATCAACAAAAAGACATTTCCCAACCACATATCACCACCAACCGCTAAGTGTGGCAGTGTCTCCAGCGGAGGTGGAAACAGCGATGAAACGACTCAAAAACGGAAAGGCTTGTGGGCCGGACAAAGTCCCTGGAGAATTACTGAAGTATGGAACATCACAGCTATCCATCGTAGCGGCAGACATCATCAACCAAAGCGTAGCAGAGGGTGCCGACATGTCATCGTTCATCGGACTTGGCACACTGATTCCTTTACAAAAACCAAAAAAACCTAGAGGACCCGTGACTAGCCTGCGTCCCATTGTCCTCCTGAACACCATCCGAAAAGTTTTCTCCCTTGTAGTGCTCTGCCGAATCGCAAAGGACGTTGCTCGTTATGTTGGTCCAACTCAATCTGGCTTCAGACAAGGCCGAAGTACAACAGATGTGGTATGGACACAGCGATGGATTGCGGCCAAGGCGACTCGATACAACTGGGAATGCCACATGCTGGGGATTGACATGTCCCGTGCGTTCGACACGACCGATCGCACCAAACTGTTAGACGTCATGGCATTAGTGACTGGCCCCGATGAAGTGCGCATGATCCAGCACCTACTGTTCCACACACAAATATCAGTGAAAGTAGGAAAGGCAACTGCCAATCCGTTTCTCAGCACCATCGGCACCCCCCAGGGAGATGGCTTGAGCCCTGTTCTTTTTATTTGTTACCTGGAGGCAGCACTGCGCCAAGTGAGAGCAAACCTTCCCGAACGCCCTTTCGCCGACCGTCACATACCCGGAGAAACAGGTTACGCCGATGATGTGACATTGTACTCAACCAGTGAGGAGTGGCTGAAGCGAAGCCTCCCCATCATTAGCGCAGAACTCGGGGATTGGTCCCTTACAGTAAACGAGACCAAGACCGAATTCTTGCATCTGACATCAACTTCAGACTCCTGGCGGTCCAGCAGGCAGCTAGGGTCCCTCATTGGCGACAGTGAGGACCTGGAGCGGAGGAAAGACCTCGCTTCGAGTGCATACGGCAGGATGTATAGCCTCTGGCTGAGGCGTGGGAAGGTCAGTGAGCAGAGGCGCATCCGCCTGTATAATGCCCTGGTTCTGCCCGTTCTTTTGTATAACTGCGGCGCATGGGGGCTCACGGCAGCACAAGCAGAATCGCTTAACGTTTTCCACCGGAAGCAGCTCCGACGGCTCATTGGCATAGTCTACCCAGCCAGGATATCAAATACTGAGCTGTATGAGAGGTGCAACACGGAACCACTATCTGACATCGTGGACAGGAGAAGATGGCAGCTAACCGGCCATATTCTCCGTATGGACAGGGATGCGCCGCCATGGATCGCGCTGACGGGCTATTTTGCGGGAGATGCCAAGGCTGGGCGTGGACGTCCAAGGACATCCATTGCGACGCGCACAAGCGACTTACAGAGGAGGAACATCGACTTGAAGCGCAGCAGTCAGCTGGGGAATGTGAGGGCCATCGCTCTGGACAAGCCTACATGGAGAAATCTGGCCGACAATCCATGATCTGGCGTCACAGGTCATCAGTGCGCCGTGTTAATAATTACCTTGATAATGGAATTTGATCATAGGAGATAGGACAGAAGCGGAACGTATAATTATACCCACATAATTATATTATTACGCGTGCTGTGGTATTATTATTATTATTATTATTATTATTATTATTATTATCACCACCAACAGCGACTATAATCGAGGGGAAAGGATGTCCAATGACTCCCATTTTTCTCAATTTTCGTTGGTGTTGGCCACCTTGGCATCCGTCCCTGTCACTCCTGTTTCGATAGAATGTCTCATGACGATATTATTATACTGATGAGCTTCCTAGGAGGGCGATTGCAGTGAGATGAATTTTGAATAGATAAGCACAATTTGTGAATATTCGTATCACCTATGTAGCCAAGATGTGGTCGATTCAAATGCCGTTTGCCGTTGCAACACTCGGAGAACTAGTACCTGTACCTTACCAATGTGTTTCTACAGGTCTGTGAGTGACATTCCTGGGTGTAGACCGTTATTTTACTCAATGTTACATAACAGTACACCTACTTTCATGGCCTCAAAAACGCCCTTGCTGCAGGATAACATGTTGTACCCTTAGAGATAGCCGATCAAGCCAGATTTTTGGTGAGGGACCCACAGAAGACCAAACTTCAACTTGATAGCAACAGTTGACACATTATTATCCCAGAAGGTAGAGAAAAATAGAATATTTACAACCACGTTACATAATTGCAGATGACCTCGTACCCAGGCCCTTCATCTGGCCGCCCTCCTTGATCTCGCTCTCTTGTCGCTCTCTTCCACAATGTAGTCGTTCCGTTCGTCTTTGTCTGAGTCTCTTCGTTTCTCTAATTAATGTCGTCCCATCTAAATGTTCCCGTTGTCTGCCGTGTCTTGGAGAGTATGACTTTTGCCCTCTCAACAAATTAATAAGGATGGCTCTTCAGGTGGGCAAGAATGGACTTGGATGGAGAACCAAGGATTCATTATTAATTATATTTAATTCCCGTAGCTATGCAGAAGACGTTACTTCAGTGACGTCTGGCGCTAGCCAGGGTCCACACAGCTTTAATTTGGTGTTTGTGTGTTTGTTTGTTTGTGTGTTTGTGTGTTTGTGTCACGCCTGGCGCTATCCGTACGGCAAAAAAGCATAGGATGTTATAAATTTTTCAATTCTCCTATTTTTTTTTCAGGCATATCCTGGGATTCGAACCCGCACTATCGCCCTACATGCATTCCCCCATACACTTCGCTTTCATACCCATTCTTCCAAGTTGCTTCACGGTATTATCTTGCGTTTGAAAGCTCTATTTGAATATTGCGGGCAGCTGTATGTGGCCAGCTGTGCTTGATGGTACGGTACGGTACGGGAGACGGTGTCGTATTACCCTCGATCGTACCTGTCCCGTACCTATCCCCTACCGTGCCGTGCCATCAAAAAGACGGCTGGCCACAATGCATCAAATAGGGCTTTCAAATGCAAGATCACAATGTGAAACAACTTGGAAGAATGAGTATGTATGCGAAGTGTATCGGGGGATGCATGCAGGGCGTGCGATAGTGCGGGTTCGCATCCTAGGTTATGTCTTAAAAAAAAGGAATTTTTTAAAGAATTTATAACATCCCTGTACTTTTTTTTGTCTAGGTCATCAAGGCAAAAAAGCATAGCGTAGGGTCCTGAGCTTCCAAGCTCTCTCGTCCTTGGCTCTCCATCTGTGATCAATTTATAGAAATTTCCTGGGTGCTTTCGTTCTTTTCCATAAATTCATACAAAACAAATCGATCACTTCAAGAAGCAAGAATGAAAGGCGAGTAATATGTGACCAGAACCTTACATTTACTCAGCAGGTGAACAAGGAAAAAGTATTAGAACACATCCAGGGGCATTTCTAAGACACTCAGCATTACCAGTGCAAAGACGACACATTCCCTACGTGTTTTGTGCTCTTTCAACTTGTTTCCTCGTTTCCCTCGAAATAATAAATCCAACTTGAAAAAGGTCCAAAAACACGTAGAGATTTTTTTAGAGTCAGGTTGAGAGCCAAGGAATAATTTATAAGAAGAAAAGAGGACCAAAGAGCTGCATATTACGCTATAATTATCCACTAACACCACCAGTTACTTTACAATCAGCTCATGCGATGAACTGTTGTTGTTGTTAAACAGTTATTATTGTTGTTATTGTAGCTGCTGCTGCTGCTGCTGCTGCTGCTGCTACGGCAGCTACTGTCGTGGTTGTAGTTACAGTCCCTCTCGTTGTCAGGAAATGTTTGCTTGCGCTACTCTTCATCCAGTTAAATTCTTATTATGACTTTGTATTCTTTCTTCCATGTTCTTCAATGACTTTGTATGTTATAATTTTCTTGAGCTCTGGTTCTCCCCTTCGTTATAACTTTTAAAGTGCAGTTTAGCACGTATCAACGTAGGATTTCCTTTCTTCGGTTTGCTTTTAGCATTTTATCGTTCCACATGTACCTTCGGTCTCAGGTACTCTCATATTTGCGAAATTGTTAATTTTGCTCCTGAATTCTCCTCCCTGTTGCTTTGCTACCGTCCTCCTCCTTCCGCCACCCTTTTTCTTAATGAACCCCATTATCACATTCGCTTCCATGAAATTGGGCTTGTAGCCCGTGTGCACTTACGAATTCAACAAAAACTATACATGCAACTAGATGTGCTAGAGGTTAGTAGAGCTAATTGCCAGTTTGGTGTAGTATGTCAGTCCAGTTGGTCAATGTCGTGCAATGTGATCGCACGAGCTGATTGTAAAGTAACTGGTGGTGTTAGTGGATAATTATAGCGTAACCTGTAGCTCTTTGGTCCTTTTCTTCATTTTATATAGAGATTTTTGTTTCACTATTTCCTCCAGTCACGAAGCTGCGCTGATAATACTACTCTGCTTCGTGTACATTCTTGAACTTCTCCCTGTTTCGTTATACTTGTCCTATAGATGGCTGGGAGATAATAGTCTGAAGGTGATTCCGTCTTCACTTGGATCTCGTGACAAGTAAGAAGCTGAACTATATCATCAATATTTGAATATTTGAATGTTGTATGTGAGGTTTCAGTTTTACAATTGGACAACATTATCAAAGACAATTATTACAGAAGTTAGGAAGCGAGTTCATCACTTTGTTGACTTCCTCCGCACTTACTGATTCAAACCGACGCGTTGGGGCCGGCTCGCCGGTGTGCTCACACTTAAAGGAGAAGTTAAGGCAAAAATTAAAATTTCACCAGTTGTAGTCTTCGGGGTGCTGAGTCGAATGGTCGTGGTCCGAGGAAGCTGAGACGCTCCCTTCCTACTTGAATCCCAATCGAACTCGCGGACTTCCACCGAAACTGGGTGACTGCGCCCTACTAGATGGGGATTTGTATGCAAAATGTCACTAAAAGCGCCATTTCGTTCTTATAAAAGCATGGATGACCGCGATTGGCCCATATGTTGTAGTCTTTTGGACGCTGAGTCGATTAGTATTGGTCTGAAAAGGCTGCGATGCAGCGTTCCTCCTTTATTCCCAATCGAACGTGGTTGAACAAGCGGTCACGTGCTCCTGCGTACACCAGTCACCTGGCAGTGACCTGGTCGCCGTGCCTGCAGGGTACAACTTACTAGCCTGTTTGACCTTTTTTGGGTGCAGTCCTGTCACTCGAGTTGAACTCGAGTTGAACCTTGGTGTGAAAGTTGTCGCCTGCTGGCGTGGTGACCAGGTGATTTGGGCACCCTGGTGCACGTGACCGCTTCTTCAACCATGTTCGATTGGGAATAAAGGAGGAACGCTGCATCGCAGCCTTTTCGGACCAAAACCAGGCGACTCAGCATCCAAAAGACTACAACATATGGGCCAATCGCGGTCATCCGTGCTTTTATAAGAACGAAATGGCGCTTTTAGTGACATTTTGCATACAAATCCCCATCTAGTAGGGCGCGGTCACCCAGTTTCGGTGGAAGTGCGCGAGTTCGATTGGGATTCAAGTAGGAAGGGAGCGTCTCAGCTTCCTCGGACTACGACCATTCGACTCAGCACCCCGAAGACTACAACTGGTGAAATTTTAATTTTTGCCTTAACTTCCCCTTTAAGGGCCGATTCCCACTACGGTACCGTGAGTGCCGTGCCGTGAGTACCCATGGTGATTTGCTCACGCGAGGGGCAGTTTTGGCGCGAGTTCATTCCGTGGCTCCTGCCGTACCGCGCCGTGGACATTCCGGTGCCGAGGGTCTCTGGGGGGTGGAAATGGCATGCCGTGGTATTCCGTGAGGTCGAATGCAGTGAGTAGTAGGTATTTTACTACTCCCTGAAAGGAAGTTTTTTCTTTCTTTTGTATTTGTGGTACGAAGTTTTTTCTTGGCTTTTGGCTTTTCGATTGGTTGATTCTTGAGCTTTCTCCAGTCATCTCCCCCGCTATTTTCCCTCAGGACCAAAGTCAGAAATTGATAAAAATGGTGATCCGGCCTGCCGACGGAATGCACGGAATGATTGTGCGCAGGTGTAAATCACTCTCAGCTTCAAGCTCGTACCGTGGGGTACACGTGACCTACCCAAATCGTCGGCACGGCACTCACGGTACCGTAGTGGGAATCGGCCCTAAGCGTAACCCATTTCAGCGCGGTTGACACCAGCGCCCCTCTTATGAGCACTCCCCACTTCACACAGGACTCAATTCGGCATGACCCGAATCGAATGCCTCCTATTACAGCGTGACTCAAATAGCTTCAACTGGGCACCATTGCCCGTTTTGCCTTGCGAAGTAAAATAAAAATCAACAACAACAACAATGGAGGCGGGTAAGTTGACCGACTCTTCATCGTAGATTTTTTTTGATTCCCACCTTCCAACCCGGCAAATATTTAAATTTTGATGAAAACTATTCAAAGCCTCTCAATTATTTTGTATTATACCTACCTTAATATACACCCCCATTCATCACACAGATCCCCGGCCAGTGTATATTCAATGTATTTGCTCAAGAATGAAATAAATACTGTTAATATAAACCACTGCAGAGAAATAAATACTGTTAATAACTTAATATATGTTGGACTCAGTAGAGCGTCCAGCCCCTATATGATGTCCAACCCCTATATAGAGTCCATTGGTCCATAATCCACTGTACAGAGTCCAAACTTGGAATCAACTGTGAGCTCAAAGTTTCGATGGACATCACTCCCTGTATAGAGTCCAGCCAATTGGCTTCACCCCTATATAGAGTCCATTGGTCCAAAATCAACTGTACGGAGTCCAAACTTTAAAATCAACTATAAAGAGTCTTTATGTGGACAACACCCCCTGTATAAAGTCCAGCCAATTAGGCATCCCCTATCGAGTTCGAAAATAGACATAGGACCTGCTGTAAGCAGTGAATATTAACCAGAAAACGGCCTCTCCCTTTAATCCTTTACATCATTCACTTCTCAAGATAAAAAATATGTATTGAGGCGCCACTGCAGCCACTTCATTACATGAAAAACCCTACAAACACCATCTTCAAATCAAGTGGTCTCTTCGCAGACGCTGCAAATTACAATATCTCAATCATGTAGTGTTGCCAAATTATTGTGCACGCACACAAACATGCACACACCCACACAACGCCAAGAAAATACCTAGAAAAAAACCAAGAATCGAAAGGGAATAATGGAGAGCCCAGGATCATTTGTTTTCAAAATTATTGTGCGCGCGCGCACACACACACACACACACACACACACACACACACACACACACACACACACAAACTTATACAACGCCAAGAAAACACCAAGAAAAGAGTAGAGACACAATACACATGCAACTCCAACAGCCATGCAAACGTCCACCCATTTACATGTAAAGTCAAGAGGGATAACAAATAATTATACGAAACGAATGCGTACGGGGACGGGTACACGCACGTTTACATACACGTAGTAGTGTAAGAGAGTAACATAGTGCAGTGGTCAGCATAATACTAGCACATGCTGAGAGTGCAATAGCAAGCTTCACCATTGCTCATGGCCATGCAAATGTTCAGCAGCACTCAGTTCCGCAAGCTTCTGAAGATCAGCACACCTGCAACAAATAGATAGCACAAGGATACGCTTATTACCGTAATGATGCATGGGAGCACACAACTTCCAAGTTCTCAACGAATGTGATGCTCAATGAAAATCAATCCACTCAAAGACCTGTGAACAGGTGATGGTGGGGACAATAATCTATTACTATATTAGTAATACGAGGAATAAGATCGTTTGCGCACACTCAAGACGCACAGACACACCAACATACATGTAGTGTACACAGTGTTTCACTTCACTGCAACTAAATTGAAATGAGATGATTTGAACAATCTGTACAGCGTTGCTGTCAGTCAGTCTTCCCCAAGATGGAAATGCAATGATTTGTTGTCACGAGGCAGTTTCACTGACACAATGTCATGTTCGTGACATCAAAACGGTTACTTCAGAGAATACGAGTATTAGCTTGAGAAGCTTTTTCTTGTCATTGGCATACAAGCAATCCTCCTAGTCCTACTACTACTAGTACACTGGCACTGCGTTTGTGGATCCCATTGTATTTGACATCATACTACAGGAAGAGTGTCGTGGAGTTCACATAATTATCACAGGGATAAACTTGAATACATTTCTCATGAAATAAAATAATAATCCGCGATATTCATGTTAAAACAAAATGGCGTCATGATTTATTGAAAGTGGTATAGTTGGTGGTACGAGTGTTCAAAACCATTTGAACTTCATACTGTTCGTCTTCTTTTTGACATGCTCTCTTTCCATCGTCCTTAGCTTTTGTTTGTTGAGAACTGTTTTGGCTTTCTCCTATACCTCTGGGGGATGCCAAGTGATGGTTTTGAGAGGGTGGTGATGGCTGTGAGCGAGAGTTTGCCGATCGGCGTCGTCCTCGGTATAGCGATGAAAATACTAGTTACTGCGCACCTGGCAGATATCACAACACGTCGGAGCGTCCAGGAGCAAAGGAATCTTGGGTTTTCACTGGAATCCAGTTCCTCCAGCATCGTGTAGCCCACCGTCGGTGAATGGCGGTCCAGAAAGGTCGAACCTGGTCTTCTGCAGCATCTCGCAGTCCTGCGAGGCACACTGAATACGCCTGTCATGTATTCTACAAATAAAAATCACGAAGTAGTGGACTTTACAGTGATGAGTCTATCCTGTATGCTGCAAAAGACGCAGGAAATGTGACTGGTGTCTGTACACTCAGTGACTGGACGCCAACACCCCAGTCTTCTCCTGCAGGATCTGTTTGACATTGACATTATGCAGTAGGTCGGCATTGACCTGGTTTGGCAGCTATCGTAATAGTATCTGCCTGGTTGGATGTAGCAGGTTGGTGTTTGCTCGTCGTCCAGTTCGGAATTTTCTTGTAACTCACGGTGGAGTACGCGCAGGGTTTGTGATCATCCCTGTTCACTTCAATATTATCAAACACAACGTTCTCTTTGTCACTCATCTTATCCTGAGTACTGAATTTGCTGACAATATTGCACCACACTTGTCACAACCTACCGCCACTGCTGGCGGTGGCGACGGGTTCGTCAATGGCGGTGACCAGGCTGACTGACTAGCTTCGAGACAGCGGCCTCGTTGTCAACCTCGCGGCAGCCTAAAGGTTGATTTTATCGATCCAGCCTCAGCGCCATGTTGACGATGCCCTAGTGACTGTGTGCCATGGATTGCCTTGCCATCAGCGGTCATTGCCGTCCACCTTGGTGCAGCCCTCAACAACTGGCTCAGCCCATGGGAGTCTCAAGTGGACAAAGTTGTTGCCAAAGTAGCTCAGAAGATTGGTGCATCGTGGTGTAGGTGAGCACATAACTAGGACTTCCCAGCGCCTATTTGTCCAGGCTGCGATACTATGTGACATGCTGTACTGCACATTCTTTTCAGCACTGCAAGTCGGCAGCTGGACCGACTGCAGGGGCCGCGCACATGCAGGCCGCCTGTTGCCAGTGCAGCATTCTGGAACGTTCCTTCCTTCTGAGATCCGT